ACTGACACAATTTCTCCAAGTATGTGACCCCGCTCGTCCGCCGACGAGTTTCTTCCAGGACACGACGGAAAGCCAAGGTGTGAACGCAGTCCTCTTTGTTGCCTGATCCTTTAATGTCCTTTCTTAGGGTTTAGTCACGAACAGGCGTCATCTGCCATTGCAAATCATCTCGAGTCTCGGAGCTTACCCCGTTTTGACGGGCGTTCAACCGAGGACCTTGCTGAGAAAACCCACCAAAGCTGTGCCTGCTGAACGCAAAGTCCCAGAAGCCAGTCACATTCATCCTCCTGCGAGCCGACCTCAAGCCGCCGAGTTTCATTGGTCCGCCAAAGCTGCCCTCTTCAGCGAGGCCCTTAAATCGGATCTGCTCGCTCCACCTGCACCTTCGCTTCTTTCCTCTCTTGACACTTTAAATGCCACCACCAAACACCCACCCTGTACCCATGACCCTGCTGCTGCTCGAGTCCATTGGAAAATTCTCCGGCTACATCTCTGCATGTCCGACACTTGCATTGTCTGTTTAGGAGACTTGAGCAGCGGCGATGGCGAAGTTGCAGCTCCCCCTGCCAGCCCTGCCAAGTCTCCACCCAGCGTCGATGCCGCCGCCGCCGCGAGGACAATCGATGCCGGCCCTGAACCAAGTGCCGCAACATCATCCGACAAGAGCGCGACCGATCTAATCGCTCATTTGAGACCGTGTGGGCATTACCTGCACAATGAATGTCTTACACCCTGGGTGGAAAGAGCCAACAGTTGCCCAATCTGTCGTGCCAGTTTCCATCTCGTTGAACTAATGCGTACAATCAATGGTGAGTTCGAAAAAGTCTAGTCGCTGCCCTCGTTGCGCAACATGTTAACGCGTATATAGGCGACGTCATTTCTTCCTACTCGGTCGAAGATCGAACGCAGGTCGCTGACTTAGATCCTTCCATGTTCCTCGAAATCCCAGAAGACGAGGACGAGGACCAACCCTGTCAAGCGTGCGGTGAAGATGACAATGAAGATGTCCTGATGTACTGCGATGGCTGTCAGAAATTGTGGCATACTTATTGTGTCGATCTGCAAGAGGTGCCTTACGGCCATTGGTTTTGTGACAACTGTAGAGCACAACGAGAGCTTGATCCGCGTGCAATTGCTCGATCGGGGCGACAAAACCGAAGACGCACGCGAGGTCAACAACGCAGGCAACGAGGTCAAGAGTCAAGCTGGAACCAGGTTTGGCAGTCTGTTTGGTCACGCATCAATCTTGACCTTGACTTTCCCTATGAAGATGACGAATCATCAGCCAGATATCTGAGGCGCCATCGACAACGCAACCAGGCCGATCGGCAGGCCCATGATGCTTGGTTGCGCCGAATGCACGTTGCAGAACTTCATGGAGCTGGCAGTCGCTTCAGAGAGACAGAACCTGCGCTTCCCAGCAGCCCCGGTGGTGAGTCCACACCAAGGCATCGACGAGCAAGAGCATCACCACTTCCACAAGGCGAGAGTGCTGATGAACTCCTGGCATGGCATGCTTTTGAGCAAGCTCGAGCTTCGTCGAATGAACCCAGCTCAACGCGCAAAAGAAAGCGGAAGTCCCCCACGTCATCCCCAGCAGAGCCTGAAAATGGATCGTCGTCTGCGACTAAACGACGACGACCGAGTGCATCGAGTCGCACTGTCTCCGACGGCAATAATCCTACCACTAGCAGCACTCGGCGTCGACGGCCTTCACGTATTGCAAGCCCTATTCCGAGACGGCAGCCAAACCTTGACCCAGCCGCGCCCAGCTTTCTACAATCCCTTCTGCAAGAAGTTGAGGATGCTGGTGCCGGCACGCATAGCATCAACCTCCACCGTCCTTCTCCCCGCCCTGCAGCGAGTCCACCAGCCGACCAAAACTCTCCGCGGCCCTCATCACCTGCATTGTCTCCTCTTCCCTCGAATCATTCTTCACCTCGGGCAATGTCAGCTACTCCTCCTCCCCCTCCTGCGCTCAGACCTGGCTCGCCCGCTGGGTTGTCTTCGAGCATACAGCCCGTCTTTCCATCTACTGAATATTCCCTCCAACGACCTACCTCGCCAGAACCGAAACAGGCAGAGCCAAGTGCACTTCGGTTGAATGGGCCAAGAGTCCCTCTGGCTCCTTCGACATCGACACCATTGGCACAGCCAAGACCTCGAAGTCGTGTACCGCGCATCCTTGAGAACGGGCAGGATTCTACAGCGAAGTCCCGCTCAACGGAGGCTTCCCCCAATCGCGCAACCATGTCGTTGACTGCGAAAGCCGACGTGCAAAAGCTCGTTGCAAGCGCCCTCAAACCACACTATAATGATCAAACCATTACGAAAGACGAATACACGATGATCAACCGGGACATATCCCGAATGCTGTATGATAGGATTGGTGATTTTGAGGCTCTTGATGTGGATGACAAGGCAAAGTGGGAGAAAATTGCCGGCGACGAAGTAAATAAGGCTGTGAACGCGCTCAGAGCTCAAGGTTGAGGGGGGATACTTGGTCGGTTTATTTATGATTATAGTCTTGCACGAAAGCGAGTTTGAATTTCGAGTCAAGCGATGAGTTTCACGATGTTATGACCTACGGTAGGCGGGCATTTGGAAAGGCCGGCGAACATTATGACATTCGGGTTGCATGGGCCCATTGGTATGGGCGTGGCGGGTTTGTCTTCCCCAGAAAGCTTGAGCGATGGCGATGGCGGTTTCCTGTCGATGCATTATGACAGAGGATACAACTTCAAAGACTTCAAGCATTCGGGGCGGCGGGGAGCAAAGAGGAAAGACTGTACAAAATACCCGCATCCGATAGCGAACACGTGTGACTCTTTGCACACATGACTGTCGGGACGTTTGCACGGCTATGGGAATTCGTGATGGACCGACCAGTCCAGAGTTTAGGAGGGAAAGAGATGTACAATACTAGGAAAGGTTGTCGGCACGAGGCCTTGAATGCAAGCATCTTTGCCGCTCTTCTGGGACACTGGTTCCAAGGTGAAGACGGATGAAGTTCAGCTTCTGCTCACATCTCCATGTGCCTCCAATCATCCACTGTGCATACATACTGTTTTCAAGTTTTTTTTTGGCTGCTTTTCCCCTTTTCTCGGTCTCTTCTCACTTTTCCTAAGCCAGATGCTATGCTAATGAAGCCGTCTAAAGCACAACTATGGATTACACAGATCCTGATTCGAAGCATCGGCGTTGCTCTCTGGCAGGAAATCCAGTCAACAGCAACCACTAAAGCTTCCCACTGGATTCAAGACGTCTCAAAAGCCCGGCCATTGTCAGGTGAAGCGGAAGACTGACATGGACAGGACAACAGGACGCGACAGCTACAGACAGCACCCTGTCTAACATTGGGATAGGGAGATGATTGTGCAGGGGGCGGCGCGTCGCTGCTTGTTGCCTTGCTTGTTCTTGGCTCCATTCAACCAACATTTGTGACTCAAACACGGTAGATGTGCTATGTGCATGCGCAAAGCGGCACCCCATGTCGAGGCCTGAAGATTCGATCTCGGGACGTGGTCCCTAAGATATCGTTTGGTGCACGAGGAGAAAAGACGGAAGATACTGACATGGGAGGAACTTTTGTGCCTGATTGTGGGAGTGGCATGTCATAATGGTTAGTCATCTCTGGATGCCAGGAGTTTCAACCCCCTGTGGGCGTATGAACCAGGCGCTTTTGATTGATGCATACCGTGTTCTTCCAGCATCTGCCTGGACGACGTGGTTGGTGCCTTTGGGCGAATGGTGCTTCATTTCGTCCCTTCGGTTTCATCAATTCATTCTCGACATGGCCAAAATGGACAGATAGAGCCCTGGACAAACACCTGTAGCGCTGCCGTTTGATTAGATGTGGCGGGAGGTCATTCATCAAGGCAAATTGCCACACATGGGCGCCTGGTCGGGGAGGAGTGATTGGGTGCTAGCCGACCAATGGAGGCTTTACAAGTGTGCCCGTCCAACAACAAGACGCGGGAGCCTGGCCTTGAGGATTGGCAGAAGCTCCAATAAATGTAGGTGGAACATGTAAGATCAAGTCCACGGGACAAGCCCGGCGGTATCTCGCTGGGGCATCGTCCTTATTTGCCTCTGTGTTGCCTTTCCACGTCCATGCCAGTCATGGCCAGCAGGGTGGCAGCTGTGTCTGGGGCCTGGGTAGAATGCCTGAAGAGGCAGATCTTGTCTGATAGTTGGTGGACAGCCAGGACATCACCATCATGAGCAATCTTTAGGCGCGGACGTAGCCCAGCGGGATCACAATGACAAAAAGTGTGACCGTGACTTCTTGGCTTCATATCGTGGACGCAAGTAAATGCCATGTCGTGGTGGTAGAGACAAGTCGAAAGAACCTCGGTTCCTGTATATGGGCTCGCTGTCGGGGTGTCGGCGAGTAGTTTGGTGAAGAGATTCTCGATGAAGAGGCACAAAGCCGGAATGCTCAAAGGGGGTTTCACAGAGCTTGGTCTTTACGATACCCACCCTGAAGGACGCAAAAGTGGTCTGTCATTAATTGGATGGTTGCTTTCGACCTTGAGCCCTAACATGTGTTACACGAGTCGTTATGTAGATCGTCATAAATCGCTGCCGAAATTCAAATGCCCTATAAGTCAGTTCCCAGCCTGATTCCGATATCTTAGTTGCGCACGAGGGATTCCATCCCAGTCCCAGCCCAGAACAAGAACTTCGACAACGAACCGCCACCCGTTTGTTTCAATCCAGCCGCCGTGGGCTCAACGCTGCAATCGAATAGTACAGGGAGAGAAACAAAGACAAAGACACAAATAAATAAGGAATCAAAACCGAGTTCCTGGTCCGAAGCAAGAAGTTGGATCAAGGCCAGGGAAGTGTAGCCCATGACTTCTTTGATTCGACCGCATGTAGCGGGGAAAAGAAAGGAGGAACATGCTCTGTCGAGACTCGGCTGATAAGCCAGTGCACATCCGCTTCCGAGGGCAAACAGTTGATAAACGATGGGTTAACTATTTGTCAGGCATATGTCAAGGCGGTATGCCTTGCGCCTGCATCGCTTGCGCAATGATGTCCTGCGTGGTCGTGGAAGGTCCCATTCTCATCAATGGTATAGACGTGGGTCGGATAGGCACGGCTGAAAGGCTTCGCTGCTCAAGATCTCCAGACTCTGTGAGGTTTGCTTGCATTGATTGTTGGTCCGCAAATATACGATGCTTCGCAAAATCGGTGGCAGACGTGTCGTTGAACCACCTTTCCAGAAAAAGATGCTCCAGATCGTCCTCTTCAATCTCTTCGAATTGGCTTTCAGTGAGTGAAGTGTACTCGTCGAGCAGTCGAGGGAGAAACTGTAGCCGGTGCAGTAGCCACACGTTCACCAAGTCGCCATGGTCCACGGGTGTCCTATCAGGGCCGCGGAGGTGATCTACCCATCTGATCTTGCGACGTAGAATTTCTTGATAGAGCAGAGTTTTTATCTCTCGCCGTGTAGGGTGGTTAGTGGGCTGGCTCAACGGCATCTCTTTCTCAAGATACCTAAGTGCACCTTCATCCTCATCGGGCTCCCGCGCTGAAGCTTCGTTTGAGATTGCTAGAGCTTCATCGTCCATCATAAGCCGCTTCAAGGCGTCTAGGCCCAGATTGGCATATTCTAGTTCGTCAAGCAGAGCCTGCTCTTGATCTTCGAAGGACTCTAGGAAATGCAACGAATCCTCGTCCAAGCTGAGACCGAAATGAGCTCTTGAATTCTGCTCTTCGAGGAGCTGAGCCTGCTCGCCTCGAAGATCTAAGAGCTGTTCAAGTATGATGTCTCTATCCCCGATCTTTGTTAAGTACTGAACATCTCCCGGAGATCGCTCAGGAGGCTCCTGTTCGAGGTCGTCTTCTTTGGTTGCAAAAACCGGACCGATGTCAGACTCTGAGAAAGGAGCCAAGCCCGTAGCATTTGTCTCCAGGAACCCATCCAGATACCGGCCAGAGTGAAAGAGTGACTGAACGACATCGTCTTCCAAATGAGCACGTCTAGCCTCGTCTGCCCGAAACCTAGCAAATCGGCCTTTGCGGAACAGATCGAATTTGCGTTGGACTTCATCAAATTGAGCGGCGAAGCTGTCAGGCAAATCCACGGATTTAGTGAAGTCGGTTAGTAGATGCATGAGGTCTTGCAAGGCGTCGACAACATCTTCGGTCTGCTGGAACATCGGGGCCCTTGCCTCGTTCAACTCAAATATCTGCTTCAGAACATGTGCATGGCTGTCTCGATATCTTCGCAATGTTGCGATGCAATCATCGCGAACGGCGTCCATGGTGACTGCCTCTGGCTGGTCGTCATCATTTTCTCTGTCTTCTTGCTTTTGCCTTTGCCTCGCTACAACGCGAAACGAGGTCTTTGAGCTCGAGGCCGGGCGGTTGGGTTCTCCGCCAGCCTCGTCTTCCGTGATCTTTGACGGGTAGGACCATTTGTGCTCACGGAGGTGCCCCAATAACCGTGACGGGTGATTGGGGGAAGATTCATCCCTGCAAATCGAATTATCAGCGTTCCGACCCGACGTAGACACAGGCTAGATTGAATTGGGTGCTGACGTTTTAGGAGCAGGCTTGGACAATTGAAAAAGCCGCTTCAACTGCCGCCCACCCGTCAGGAAATTCAGTGCAGAATGCATTCATGCTCGTGAATCCCAGCTTCCAAGCAGACGAGCGAGGTGTAATAACGAGGTGAGGCTGAAGCACGATGCCGTCGATCGGGGGTGGGAGCCGGCCCTTACTTGTATCGGAAGGGGGGCAACATAACAGCCCAGCGGCAGCCTTTGTGCTGTCCATGCTGGTGTGACTGGTTCTAGGCAGGCCGTCCATTTACCTAGTTAGTGGCAAGGGACTGGGGGGAGGCGTTATGCAGAAGGTGCTTTGCTGCCGTCTACTTGGTAGGTTGAAGCTGCAATGGACTGGCAGTTGATGGCCAGGGTATCACGCAGATAAGACCACCCGAAGGTCACTGGAGGTCACCTTCCCTGCGCTTATGGTTAGTGGTCCTAGGTCCTTACCCTGGGCACCACGCTAGGCATAGAGCTAGGGAGGAAGGGCGGGAAAGGCGGGAAGGGGGAGACAGAAACAACAAGGACATGGTGTCAAATTCCTTTTGTCCTTACAACTCCTGATACAGGCCCAATACCATGACCCAGTACACACCACTTGACCACTACTACCACCACCACTAACACCACTTACCACCACTACTACCACCACTACCACCACTACCACCAGCTTGCCTCAGGCTTCTCGACACTCTCGACGCTCGCACTAGCTCATCACGCTTATCGAGCCGGCCAAATGAAAAGGCTGCCTCCACGAAGGCATTGCCTAACCGACTGCATTTTTCGCTCCAGTCGGTTCGACTTCTCCAAATGCATTATGCAGCTATGGTTTCTGCAGGATATGCCACTACTCGTCCACATTATGCTCCTTACTGGACTGGCCTGGACTGGCCCAGAGGGCTCAGGATAACTCCTGTCCTGATGACTCGGTATATCTTGGGCGTAAAGCCCCCCCTTTTCTCCCGCACCCGTTCCTGGCCTGAAGGTCGTTTGATTGCAAACAATTCTGCCGTCTGTTTGATTGGCAATGTGATCCGTCATGCCAGACCAGCCCAAGTCCTTACCCATACGGGGCGACAGACGTGGTAATGGTCGAACTCCTGGTAAGAGCCGGCATCGACAGCAACAGAGTCGTTTGCTAACGCCAGGAAGCACAAACCACCAAGGGTTCAGTGAGCGGCAAAAACCAGGGCGCCGAAGAGGCCCGCCCGTAAGTTCTGCTCACATATGATTTGATGCTTTCAGATTTCAGTCTCATGCTTGTAGTGATGCTCCTCGATCTACGCCACGGGTCGACCCCCAACGGATGCAATCGCGACGCGCCGTTGACGACCGACATCAGAACTCCGCAATTGCGGCCAATCCAATATTTCCTCGAGAGGGGTGAGCTCTGTGAAGAATTCTTTGCCTTTGATTGCTGACCCCGACTACAGAGCTCCACAGAGCTATCAAATTGCTCCTGGTCAAGAACAACAGAACTCTCGGGTTTCCGCATCAGGGGCGTTGATGTTTAATAGCACTCTGGACTTGACGCTTCGAGCTTTCGCAAATATTCCCCGGGGTGATTACGGAAATGTCGCGGCATATATTCGTGCGAATCCCTCAATTCTCAGGGCAAACCCCCAAGATCTTCTGAGGGAAGCCATTCATGCGTATCAGTATGCCAGCCGCGGCTCCGACGTGCAATATAGCGGCAAGATGATGTACGGTGATAGTTGCATTCAGCAATATCTGATCCTCAAGCGACTGCAACATTTGATACAAAAACTTGTCGAACGACGACAAACAAGAGGTCCGACTGAAGGGCTGGATGACCTTATCAAGAGCTACTTCAACCAGTTGCTTGACAAAACTTCCTCGTCGAGAAAACAGCTTTATGAAGAATTCAACGAGGCGTGCACAAATGCTAAGAGACCTATACAGTCTACCAATCCAAATCCTCACCCCAACGCCCCACGGGCCCAACCGGCGCAGCCTGGTGCCCACGCCAGGCCACCTCCTAGCCAGGGTCAGCGACATTCAGTTTCAGGACGACCCCCACCAGAAAGCCCGCTCGTGGACCCAAACGAGAGTGCCTCCGGACTGGACTCCAGGTACATTGTCAGACCATCGAGCTACTACCAACCGGGGCGCGTGTTTGCCATTCTCTGGCATGAACCCTTCAACGACTCTCAGGGCAACACCTGCTTGAGCGACAATGTGAGCACTGGGCTCTATGGAGAGCGCATTTACAGCTCAATTCGCAGGATGGTGGTCGTCCGACAGGACCATGGTTGCAGTGTTTGTATCCAAATAAACACGTACGGTAAACGAGGATTGGGGAAGTTCAAAACATCTCAAAGGGATATCGATGCCCATTCGATAATCCATATGGACGACACAACACCCCATCAGCTACCAGGTGAACCCATATCGGACAAAAGACCCATAGCTGTCAGGAAAGCAAGTCCAGATCAGCAACTGAGCCCGTGGAGCCGCCTCTGCTACTCCCAGCCACACACTGTGCAACATACAGTGAAAGCCCTGGACGTTGGCTGGGTAGTTAAAGAGAGTTTGCCCTACCTGCTGTCCTATTTCCAGATGGTGAACGCACTCCCCTAGAGACTTGGCACGTCTCGAAAGCACCATCCTCGCAGGAATCTCCACTGAGAAATACGTTACTCACCCCTACCCCAGACTAAATCACCTCCTACTGTTCAAGGCCACTTACGTTTCCGGCTCGAATCTTCGATACCATCCAAGTTATTGCGACTTTCGTGAAACTTGATTTTGAGAAATTCTTTAACAAACTAGTTCATTTCAGCGTACGAGGGATTGCTGTTTTTTCCCTTGGAATTCATATGAGCATGACAGCGAGACTTCCCATACTTGGGTGTCTGTCAAAGATGATTGGTTTTTCCTACATTCGAATGATGCTATTTTGCCGTTTACCCCACTTGGTTGTTGGTGGAATCACAGATTGGAAACTCTCTGTTCTGCTATCTACAGGGAATTCATACTTTTAGTTCAGCTGGCTGCAGGCTGCTACGAATTCACGATATACATATCTATTAGCGACGTTGAAGGCACGCTCCATAATATAAAATGCGGACCCGAGGATATTCATGCCTCGAAGGGGGAGGGGGGGCAGTTGATCCTCTGCGTCAGCTTCTCCCCGTCCCCATCCTCCTCTTGACGTCTCTCGCTCCAGTGCCTCGGTTTAGCCCGGTGCCCCTTGTAACCGCAGAGCCTCACGGCGGGGTCGGCAGATAGGAAACCGACTGATCAACACCGGGAGAGAGGTCGTGAGAGGGAGAGGCCGAGCAAGGAGTAGGCCTGACGAAATCAGAGACCAACTAATCGCCGCCAATGCATCCTACAAGTGCAGCTGTTCCGGACAATGGCGAATGTTGAAGGACTTGCGATGGCCTAAGACCCAGCTGACCTAGATCGTTTCGAATGCCTGGTGGCTTGGTCCTCTAAGCGGCAAAATGGCTTGCGTTGCGCTGGCATGTGGCACGAACTGGAGTTCGTCAGTGTGCAGCCCCTGCTCATTCCTCTGTCCTTTGCGCATCGCTTCCGGAATCAACTGGATCACCCCAACAATCTGGTTTTAATTGGAAGCTCTCCCGTTCAGGACGGCCTGAGACGGGCTCGGCCTACGTACAAGGTCCCATGGCCATGGCACCAGAATGACCTCCAGGGGATCCCAGTGGTGCGACAGAATGACTGGCAAGGATTATGTACTCAAGTTGCATGTCCCCAGGATCCGACGAGGAATACGAGAACTCGGTTGTTATAGACACGGGCCTCCACTTTCCCAGAGGCTGTCGAGCACTAGCAAATTTCGCTAACCGATCACTGGTACCCTCATCGCTGCATCTTTCTCAGTTCTACGGCATATCGACGACAGCTTTGCCCAACCTGCATGCGAGGTTGCAACTTGGGCAAATTCCCCCGAGCTCCCGCAGGGAATTGGAGTTCCGCGCTTTTGTTGGCGCTTTGTAAGGGGGACGTTTTGTGCATTCACTATCTTCAGCCGCATGGCTTCTTACGAGGAGGAAGGAGAGCCACCTGGACCATCGACTGCTTGAACCCTGCTTGTCGCCTACTTCTATCAGATGCATTATTGATGCGCTACTCGACGAGTGCCGTTCTCAGTCGTCCAACTATGTCCTCGACCCGTACCTCTTCATTGTTGTCGTCCAGAATAATTATTCTCCACCTGTAGCCCCCCGCTTTAACTAATATTTACCTCGTACTAGGATCAGCGCGCCGAGCCATCGGCCAGATGCCGGTTGGCCTTGTGGTGATGCTTCGATGAAGGCAGGCCCATCTAGCAATTCTGGGGCTAAGGCGGATGTGCGGAGTAAATTGGGTCCGAATGAACCTGGAAGAATGGCCGAAATGGGCATATTAGTTGAGAGAAGGGGCCGGGAAGGCCTCGCAAACTCTGCCTCGCAAAACAGAGGGTTGATTCCTTGGAACCTGGAGGAGTGTGTACTGGGTACTTGTTAGCACCTTGCGCCTGGCACCTTGCGGGCGTGCGGCACTTTTGTTCTATGTCGGCTCCTGTTTCAGATCGTGCCATGCTCGTTGTATGTAACAGCGGGCTCAGGAAATCGTAGTAATGACCATTGTATTTTTCTTTCTCGTTTCTTTTCAAACGCTGTGCTTCCTCCGGATGCAGAAAGCCCAAAAACCAAGACTTAGCACAAAAGGCATCCTTGACCCCCGCCGCTACCTACTTCAAGCAAATCGACTTGCTTCTAGCTCTATGCGAGCAGAAATATTCCTATGGATGGCTGTCTCTAGTGACCATCTTCCAAAAATTCCATGCCCGTGGGTGCAGGTCTGGTAAAATCTATTGGCCAGCCTCACGGCGAAACCGCCGTGAAAATGAGGCTGTGCATCTGAGCCGTTCGGTCTGAATCGCGCCTGTATCATGTCTCTCGACATGGGTGCTTCTTGATCGGCACCATACCTGTGTCGAAATATGCACGCCTTCATATCTTGACTGCAGCAGGTTCTGCAACTCCTGTTTGCCTCCGCGGATGCTGCATATCAGGGAATCTGCCTATTGGTCGCCTGTGCTGTCGAGGCCCGAACCGTCAGCTGCGACAGTTCCAGGTCGCGCAACATCCAACCGACCCAGTCTGGGGTTCAATCAACCAACCATCCCGTCAACAGCGCGGCTCGAGACTGCCCTGTGGTGGGACAGCAGTGTGAATTTTCTGAAATAGTCCAGAGATTGAGCGATTTCGTGGCAATGGTCAGAGGTCATCGTTCATCGAGGTGTCACCTGAGTAGTCAGGTCATCAATAGCGGCTAGATTGCCCCAGTTGCCACATGGATCGAATAGGTCCCCCCCTGAATCTCATTGTCTGACGAGTCTCTTCCAACGCTTCCCTAAATGGGGACTCGTACGTGGCTTAGAGTTCATTGGACAACCATTCAAGTGCTTCTCGCATGGCAAGGCTGAAGTCCCCTGGAGACGGCCTGGTGCCAAAGACAGTTTCCCCAGAATTGAATCCGAAAAGACAGACCGAGCTACAATCCAGAAATTGGGGAGTTGGGTGGAAGACGGAGCACCTTTGAGCTCAGAAGCACGGATAGACTCAAAACTCACGCAGGACGCGTCAAGGACGTAGAGGAAGATTACGATAGCAAAATAATGAAACCAGCACTCAGTGTTTCGCGTCTACCCAAGCGGCAACATTATCTTTTGAGGCAGCGAACATACTTCGCGGACGGGTATATTCGTCATCTGGAGCTCTTCGTCGTTTGTGCGGTTCACTCTGACCGTGAGACTTTTGGATGTTGGCAGTCGTGTCAGCGTTGGTCCCTCTGGAAAACCCTTCACTGGACATATTCTTCCTTCGAGACTTTTTGGATGTTTCCTCTTCAAACCAAATATCGAGGGGAGGATTGCTTGGATCTGTTTCCAGAGCTTTATCGCTTTTTCTGCTAGTCTCTTCGACCGTTTTGAGGAAGTTTTGCTGCTCTTGAGGTGAACGCTGCAGCTGATACAGGAGGTAGGCATTGACGAGTGTTTTTGATCTGACCGGATTGTCTTTTGTTGCGCCTTCGAGAATTTGGGACAAGCCGTGTCCTTGGACGTCCGACTGAAATTGAGACCCCAATTTGCTGTCTCCCAATTTCCCACCTTCGATATCGCTCTGGCCAGCGACCGGGTGCTCCAGTTCCGAAGGTAGACGAAGGTATTCTTCGGAAATGCTCACCTTCCTCTCTGGGAGTTCGTCATGAAGCCTGGCCAACTCTTCTTCAGCTCGCCCTAGTTCAAGTAATACTTCATTCCGCCTGGACTTGAGGTCTTCTAGGATGTTCGGTCGTTCGCCCGCTTCGGACATCATCATCTGCTCCACATCCAGATCCATCAATGTCTCCCTCAGCAGATCCACATCGCCTTTCTTCGAAAGATAACGTCGAGCCTCGGAGGTCTGATCCAGTCGAATGTCATCCGTGGAAAGAACGGACTCTTCTGTATCAGATCCCTCGGATTGGACAATGACACCTTGGTCTTCAAGGACTTTGAATGAAGATTCTGCTGCAGGGCCAAATATTTTGAAACCTTGGCTGCGAATGAGGGAACATTGCTGAATCAAGTTTTCATCCTTCTCCTGCAGTTGTGTTTCGACTCGCAGCAATCCCAACAGAATGTCCCGAAGGGGTCGCAAATCATCACCGCCTGCAGAAGCCAATATGCTTTCAGCTTCTCGTAGGGCAATTCCCCTCTGTCGAATGACTTCTCGCCTAAGGTCAGTAGCCGTTATGAGACCACCAGTGAGGGACCCGAAGGTACTGTTAAGTTGATTCCATAGACTACGCAAAGCCAACGAACGGCCGGTCGATTCTCGTGCGTCGGAATGAGGAGCAGGGTCAATGTCTGAGGGCGAGACCTGAGCTATCAAGCTGTGGTGTTCGCCGGCGCCTCGGACCACCTCGATATTACGCAGAGGCACCGGCTCTGCGGTTTCAGCCGCATCCCCTAGAGGTCGAGTCCCTCCTAGAGCAACGTCCTTCGCAACACCGTGGTTTTCCATTCTCTCGTCCGCCTCGGCAGAATGTCGCTTGGAATCCCCGGAGTCGACAGTTGCCCCGACGAGCGGAAGAGCGTCTTGTGTGCATGAGACATGTTGAGGCCCAGTTTCAGATTGTGGGAGGTTGGACGATGCTGCCGGGTTCGATAGCAGACTGTCACCTCTGTGTCAATACAATGCAAGGGGGGTCTCGGGACTGTGCCACCTTGCTTACCCGACCTGCTGTTTGCTTCCAGTGTTCCTGTCTCGGAACCAGGAGGGGACAAAGTTCCAGGGGGGAAAGATCATTCCCAAAGATTCTTGAAGGTAGATTCATGTTGGCGGGAGTCCCCAACCGGAAGGGGGGGCCATGCGTCCAGTATAAAAAGAATGGTGTGGGAAGTGAGGCAGCGCGTCTGAGGACGAGAGTGCATGACCATCGAATGGGTGCGTGGTTAGGGGGGGGGGGAGGGCTCGGTCCCGGCATTGAAGTCACCAGCCTAGGGGCCGGCATAACGCGGCTGAGCAATCTTACTAGGGTGACAGGAATCGGTACGGCGCTGTGTGTAAGTTACGTACCTAGGTAAGATACTCCGTACATACAGGTAACGGGACGCTCCACCACACGGCGCGTATCATTAACCGTTTGGACTCCATCCGCTGGAGCTGACTCCATCTCTACCCAAGTACGAGGTACAGGATATGTACCTAGGTATGTATTCGCCTTATTCCCTGCTCCCCCCTGTCGGTGCCCTGGCCACCCTCCGAGTCGGCAATTCTCTCGTCCTATTATCTCTACCTTCTGCTTGGTCGGGTACGCGAGACGTGTTCGTCGCTTGAGACGCTTTTGCTCGTCTAGATATTCCTTAGCACTCCTCACAACCCCGCCTGGCTTCCATATCCTCCAATGACTCCGCTTCACAATGCCGGCGTCTGAAGAGTTCACTGGAGGATACGCTCCATGACAGCGCTCCAGACAGAGACGCTTTCTAGCGGAACATTCCACCAAGAGCCTCACCTGGACAAATGAAGAGCTGCGGTGGTTCTCGGATAGCCCCTCCCATCATGTATAAGACGACCCAACGATGGCGTTTCAGCTACAGGATGCTTCTCCCCCAACTTGTAGGCTTCTGCAAGTGCCCTCGTGCGTCTCGATTGCTGCAAGCCACTCACTAGCATATCAGACTGCCTTTGCCCCTTAACACACTCAAATCAGCGTGTCCATTGAAGGGAACGAACTTTCTAGGATCCTGACTTCCACGACCCCGCTCGCTAGGCCCTGCGAGAAGCTATCTCGAAGCCTAAAGCCCATTGAGAACCGGATCAAGATAATAGTTTCTTGTCTGTCCACGTAAGAGATGTCTCTTCGACAGCAGTCCAAGCGAGGAGGGCGTCAACGAGGTCATCCCGCAAAAGATGAACATGTGGCTTCAGGGTCGAAAGATGACGGTGCAGGAGTAGCCCCCGAGGCAGGCAATCCCAAGTCACTTCACGACGTGGAGGGAAAAGAAGCGAGGACCTACCCGAAGGATAAGAGTTCAGCTCTAGGTCGCCATAGCGAGAGAGACAGCCTGGGAAGCGATTATCCAGAGAGTGCAGTCTTTTCAAGAAATACCAATGTCACATCGCCATCAGTCGACAATCTGAAAGAAGGTGTGAGCAGCAACTGTTTCCATTTGGACGATGACGAGATGTGGCATGCTATCTGTGTCTCAACATTCAATCAGCGTGGAGACACAAAATTGCTTGCGGACACACTTCAACGAAAACTGTCCGTGATAAAAGACTACCAATTCCTTCTAGAAGCAGTGAGGTGTGAAACTCTGGGGGTGCCAAACCTTCGAGACACCTGCATTCGGCTTTACCTCTTGGTCAAGAGCTGCGGCCCTGCTCCACCAGGATCCCATGTCAACAAGGCTCGCTTTCACGAGCTCTCTGCAGAATATCTCAGCGGGAGCAACGAGGAATTTGCCCAAATTGCCAGCCAGCTTCAAAGAATGCTTAAACGAAAGGCATTCGGAGATGAAAGGGTCGAAAGAGAATTGTCTGTATCACAAATTTCGTATCCGGAGCAAGCCTGGTCTCCCCAAAAGAAGAATAACAAAATGCCATTGCGACCGTCCTTCGGGGAGAAATCACGGAGTCGACGGCAAAATCATGGCACAAAGGAAGAGCTAGACGTCGGCTATCACAAAAAGGACAGCAAATGGTATACCGTTGGCAGGGTTTTCACAATGTTGTGGCATGCCAATGCCACCGGCGTCGGACACACAGAGGACACGGGCTTTACAAGCACTGGCCCGTACAACCAAAAGATTTATAGCCAAATCCGCCGTTTCGCCGTCATCAAACAGGGCCATGGGTTCTCATGGGCAATACCCATCAACACATATCACGGGAAGGGCATTAGCAGGGACAGCTTTGACGAGGAGGATCATCAAGCACACGCCATCATTTACATGGAGGATACTAAGCCAGAAAGGCTTCCTGGAGAGCCTGTCATGTTAAAAACCCCGATCATGGTCGATAAAACAAGCGAAGACAAGAAGCTACACCCTGCAAGTCGCATCCGGTTCGACAAAGTCTTCACCATTGAACATAACGTCAGGGTCAAGAACGTCGGCAAAATATCAGCAGCGTCGATGCCTTATTTTCGTCTCTACTGGCAAGAGCAGCTGGCAGAATTTCTGAAGACGGAAGCGACCATTTGATTGTATGTGGGCGAAAACCTGCGTCTGTCAATCCATATACGTTTCTGCTGCTCCCGGTGGCAACGCCTTCAGCAGCAGGGTGTCAGTCTCATTGAAAGGCGCTCCGACAGTTGGACGCCGTCCACAATGCTGCGGAAGCAGCATGACTTGTGGACGGCATTGTGTGAGTCGCTGAATATGCGCCAGTTAGGTTTCGTTCGTGTGGCCACCCATCCTATCCCACTTTGTTTTGACCGTGGAAACTGGTGAAGACGGAAATCCAACCTGGACGTCTACCCCCTTTTCTTCAGAGCCTCGTTCATTCCAGATTGTCATTGGTATACTGTTTGAGGAATGGTCGCTGCCTTTTTCCTACTTATGCTCCGACTAGTCAGAGTGTATTTACTGTAACCTTCAGCTGTATCAGTCATGACATAACGAATTGCTTAAGTAGTAACGCTAAAACATTGCCAGCGGGACTACGGATTTTCCGCCTTTCCCCTACGACAAAACCGTTACGCGAGTCTGGCTTCATTCCACATTTGAGACGATAGTTTTCCATTTTCCCAGCCTTCCTAAAATGTCTTAGGCTCTCGCTCAGCCTCGCAGCCTCCTCCTTTACATCTTGGCGATTGATCATCTCAGAAACTGGTTGCGTCCTGACCTCCCTAAATGGTAGATCCCAGCCTCATATTCAGCCTGCTTTTCTCTGTCTTTGTACATGCCTACATATTTATTGGCCTCGATCTATGGAAGCATTGACACAAAAGATGTGGCTGGACTAATCAAAAGCAATGATATTGATACCGTGGGGGCCATCATTGCCCATCGGGTAAGAGGCAATTTCCCTCCAGAAGAAACCAATTTTCGACCTGGTCTATCGATTCCCTCCCTGATTGTCACTCAGCGCAAATGCAAGGTACTTGCTCTAAATGGCTTGAGTTTATTGCCTTTGGGCCGCAAGGACCCGACTCAAGCCACTGTCCGATGTACTGATATTATACGGCGTGACACTGTACAAGGGCGTCGAACTCGGCACAGTGCACACTTGGATCGATCCTTTTCCGGAGTCCGGTGGACGGCACTCCGGGCAGTTCAATTCGATCATTGCTGGTTATGGAAGGCAGATCTGGCGGCGACCCAAAGAGCGGCTGAAAGCGGCGCTTCCGCGCCCGACAGCAGCGCAAAGAGTTGGGACGAGAGCAAGCACCTCTGCCGTGACAAGGCTGGCTCGATACCAGTACCGATGACTCGGTATTCGATCAACACCCAAATGTGGACACTTCCGAGTGACGAACTACGGAAAAGCTCTAATTATCGCCGGTCATTTCAATAATGCAACGCCGTCAATGACGGTCGAAGGAAAACAGGCAACATAGAACGGTCCCTGTGAACAGTGGCGAAGAGATCCAACCATTTACGACCTTATGCGAGGCAAAAGCAATATCAACAGTGCGCCTTTCGGGGGGAAGCGGAACCTGCATGCCGTTGTCAGGTTGTTTATGACTCCGCTGTTCATTCAGGGAGACTGTCACTCGTGCTTTCGAAGCTTCCAGTCAAAAACGCCATAGATTGGAAGGACGAGTTACGATTTGCGCCGTTGAGCATATGCCGGTGTCAGAAGGTCACCGGCGTGCGAATGATAGGTCAGTATCTGCGGAACTCTTTTTATGTATTTCTCATCAGTCTTTACAGTGTCTAGCAGCAGCCGCGAGAGAGAGACAGGTTCCTTTCCGACGGTTAGCTCATGTCCATCTCGTCATTAACAAAATTTACACATGACTCAATTTCTACTCCGCATTTGAGATATTGCGATCCAGTTAGGTCGTTCAAGTCTACTGTGCGAAGTGGAAAGCAAAAAAACAAAAAGAAAACTAAATTCCGAAAGCTTGGCTCGGGAGAGAAGCCACGGCATATCCGTCGCGTCAGTAGCTTCTGACTGGATCAAATTTGGCGGTGAGCAGTTTCGCATTGGATTGCTGCCCAAAATGAAGCGAAAAGGTCGACGGCACACTCTTGGACAGCAGCCAATCTACTCTTCGCTCGAGAAGACTTTGGCGTAGGGCAAACAGGAAGTGCGCCTCGAGACAAACAGATTTGACCGTGCTTTTGACGTTGCCGCGTATCCTGTATCGAAGAGAGGAACACGCACTCATACCTCTTTGTGTCTGACCACGTGTCATATACACAGCGTTGAATGAGGAATGAGCCTGTCGTGTACAGGTTGACAGCATCATTCGGCGCAGCCCAGCATCGGATCCGAGGAGGCAACAAAGAAACGGTACCGCAATTCGGTCAGGATACGCTCTAACCAGGCAAACCCACAAGCGATAAAGTAGTGGCCATCTTACCGCTATGTGTTCAGGGAAGAACGAATGTGCACCGTTCCAGGGCCTTGGGTAACGGTAAGTGTCACTGTGCCAATAGCCCGTGCGATTGGGAGAAAGGCACCGTTGATCGACTCTTTAGGCCTAGCCCGTTCATCAGCCTCAATTCCTTTCACGCAATATCCGTTGTGCTGGGATGTCTCTGTTGCTGAAGATGAGACCGAAGTTGCTGATGCTGACTGTGTCGGATGGGGCCACTATTCCAGGGCAGCTGTCTCCATTTTCGAGCCTTGGATCCTGTTTTCACGCCGACCTCAACGTGGCCTGTTCCTTGAATGACTTGGCACTCTGAGATCCCAGGTGCAAATATCCAGGCTAGGCTCCCATTGTCGAGAAAGGAAAAAAAAACAAGGTTCTGCTGTCTAGGAAAGGTCGACAATCATCTTGTGTTTGGTTCTGCCGGAGGGCAATCTAGTTGGACTCGAGGGTGCAGCTATGTGGCTCTTGTCCCTCTCAATCTGCAGGCTGGTAGGTGTTACTTCTGTCATGATGTCATTGATTCGGTCTCGAACGCATCGATTTGTTGCTTTTCATCGCGCATAGCCCCTCAGAACGTCTTGATCCTACCAAAGGAATATTTCCCTATAGCGGTCTAAAGATGTTGCAAACGCTCCAATGCTCGCAGGAGACGTGATTTCTTCATACCGTTTGGTTTTTACTAAGTCAATCGAGGCATTCGAGCAGACACTTTCTGTGAGGGTAAGGGTCTGCTGACGAGGCTCAGGATAGGGGTGTTAGTAAGGCCGTAGAGTGCACAAAGAACGTTTACAAGGCTGAGGACATTGTAAAAAGGCAAAGACTCTAAAACGGCCTGGAGGGAGATAACATCTTCACCAGTCATGCCTTGCCATCCTAGACTTTGGACTCTGGCTCTCAGCTGAGGCACATCTGGAATCTGACTGGGCAAACAGGATCCACCACGCATCGCTTCAAATTCAACAGGCGATCACAAAATTGACCAACGGATCGAGTGGGAAACAGGCAAAGACATCTTTGATCTCTCGTATACTAGTTCCCCCTGGCTCATTCTGGGACACCAATTGGCCATGAAATCAGCGAGGACCTCACGGTTCGAAGCAGCTCAGCCTCGGGATGTATCAACTATGGCAGGGTTTATCCACGGGGGATACGAGGGTCGTCACATGGCCGCAATGATACTCTTCGTCCATTTTCGCGCCTGCGGCAGCACGTCTCAGACATCTGTTGTCTAGTGTGGTGTAACATTGCTAACCCGAACCGGCAGTCTGCCTTGTGATTTCCTTCGCGATCCCCTATGATTCCTTCGAAAATGGCACATGATATCTTGTGAGAGGGCGGAGGGGCCTTGTGCGGCAGACTGTCTGGATTTTGCATCGACCAAGTGACACGAGTGTTGGTGATGGTAGCGCCTTGGTCGAACGCTGGAGTGAGCAGGCCAAAGAATTATCGTTCAGAGGTGGATACGAGGAGAGCCCGGTCTGACCAGGGCTGGATTGGTAGGAGGACAAGTTCAGCCTGTACCCAATTTCGTGAGCTGTAATAGCTTAACACGGTAATTTTCATCGTGTCCCCAATCCACGGCCAGATAGGTCTGGTTAGAGGGAGCTGCGGCGGAGTGGTTGTAATGTATTGGGTTTTGTTATACCGAGAACAGAACGCACAAGAAAAGCTGTCTAGATGCAAGAGTGACACCAGACTCCGCGCAGTAACAATATACATAAACGAGAGCCTAGGGAGGATGGTCTTTACATGCCGGACCCCACAATCAGCCCCCTAGCCATAGCCCCAGAATGCCCTTCTAAACTCAGATCATCCTCAGGCGGGGCCTCGGATTTGCGGGGTAAATATATATATGTTGCCGGACCGAATGGTTGAGAATCTCATGTGCCTGGTAAGCCGGTAAAGCCATGCGCATACCCCAAATATCGAACATGACCAACAGAGCCTAGCGGAGCCCAATACAAACCTGTTGCAGTTGAAAAGGTAACACGACAGTAGCAGGGCTAGAAGATTCCAACCATCGCTGTTTCTTTGAATGGCCCGTCATCTTCAACCAGCCTTTGGATAAGCGTGGTCGGAAAGCTCTGAACTTCTCGGACGCCTTCGTTTCAGTGGACGATTCTGCCATTGAAGCTCCTGACTGTCGGTGGCGTCCGATAGAGGAGTAAAGATCTCGTCCTCAAGAGTGAATGAAAATCCCGAATACTCCGGGTCTTCGCTAAAATCCGTCAGAGGGATGTAATTGATATTGCTCTCAAGCCACGTTGCCCTCACGTAGTCTGCAACAGTCTTGGTCGAAAACCTCTCATTAAGATCACTCATGAAGACGAAGCGGATGAGGGACCACCATGACGATTGCACACACCCGAGGATCCACATGGAGACGGAGCCTGACAGAGTTTCCGCGTCCCGGCCTCGTAGGTCCCAAGCGATAGATGAGTATTGAGTCAACGGAGGAACACAGGGTTGTTCTTCTAAGACTTGGGGATGTGACAAGGTGACCACAAGCGGCTGAGTCAGAAAGGGAAGAATATCACCGTTCCGTTCCTCTTGGTGATGGGCTTGGAGATGCAGGACTTCATCATCCTCGGTTAGAGATTGTTGTGTCATCACATCGGGTTGCAGGTCGTCAAATTGATCGTGCCCAAATAGTATGTCTGCCTCCCTGGACATCAGATCCGGGCCTTCAGTCACCATATCATTTAGTGTATTGAAGCCCACAGTCAGATCGGCCAACTCTCTCAGTAACTGCGCCCGTCGCTCGGGGAGCTCTTTCAGAGCCTCCTGTGACAACACGTCCACAGTCAGACCGCCCGCTGCTCTCATCTGCACGTCTTCTTGAAGCGCGGCATACTCTTTTGTCAGGCTCACAAGTCTATCCTTCACTTCCTGCCTGTGGCATGACATTGCCGATAGTCGGTCTTGGGTAGTTGCTTCATACGGGGGCAAGAGGCTCACTTTGACATTCTTCTCGTTCGGTCTCTTATGGAACCAGCTAGGAGTCGCTTCGGTCATTTGAATGCCGACCTCTGAATCATCCTCATCAGAAGCCGAGGGCCCTAATAGGTCCTCATAAAGCCTTTTCTCGGACTCTTTCAACTCCCATTCCGCAGGGGCTAGATTCGACTCCACTACGTCAAGATCAATATCTTGGGCCTCCAACTCTTGGAAGGTTAAGCCCATCTCCTGAAAGCTGGTCGTCGTATTGTCATGGTGTGTTTGACGGTGAAACGCCTCGTTTGCCTTTAAGAAATCACGAAAAACTTTGTGCAGGCGATTTCGCGTGTGCTTCATCCAGTTCCGTTTGTCTCTTGCTCGGATCCTGAGAGCTTGGACTTTCAGCCGCTGCCGCCTGATCATTTGGACCTTGGTGATGAAATGAACATGGTTGTCTACCTGGTCTAGGTGAACCCATGGAGTGTTGTGGTTTATTGAATCCTCCTTAATAAGAGCAGGGGCTAAGTCCAAAGGGTTGTATGCATCTGGCAGGGGAACCGCTTCTCGATCCCAGGGTATGTGTGCGTCGTACGAGGCTCCGGCGGTCATAGCCAAATCCCGTTCTAATTTTAGTGTATCCACTATGTATTTTTCATCTTTAAGCGTTGTCGCGAGCAACTCGGGCGCTGATCCTCCATCCGCGGTAGAATTGCCATTCTCCGAGGAGGGCGAACACCCTGCGTCGTGGATGGAGGCGTGAACTGACGATTGGCGGGGAGATCTGGCCCTACATGGCACGGTAAGTCTGGCGCTATATCATGTCAAGGAATTGTAGACGTACCCGACAACATGACCGCACAATTCCAGTGCTCGATTCCATGGCGGTTCGGTGGGCAGCAATGCCATAAGCCGGTGGATTCCATGAACAGCTGTCTTCACAATGGTATGGGCAAAGCTGGCCAGTTTGACTCGTCTGGCAGGTAATGGCAAGCTGAATCAAGGGAATGGGAACGGACCAAACAGAAAGAAATGATGCTGGGGGATCAACGGCGAGGATATACACGAGGCCAAGTAAAGGAAAAGAACTACCTAACTAGGAGTATAGCTTGATCGATGGCAATCACGACCAATCGCCACTGCTCCCGGTCGATGAGCCATGCCCTACATCAGCCGCAAACATGTAACCTGACTGTGGAGGGAGTGTCGATGGCAGATGTTGTGTACTTGGTAGGGAGAAAGGCAGAGAAAGACGGCAATGCGGCATGGCTTGTTGGTGGCTCCAGGGCTTCTCCCAGGAGGAGCGACATCCGAAGCACCTACTGTCCAAGTATATGACCCACAGCCCTGCCCGTATTGAACCCCTACACCCGCTGCACCCCCCTGCAAACACCCACAGGCGCCGAGACACCGACACGAGCCGCCCGCCCACTGGGTACATACAGCAACTACCGTTAATTGGCCCAGGCATCACGCAGACGCCCACCAAGCCCGTAAATGTATTGAATTCTTTTGGTCTGACACCTCGTATTTGCAAACTGCGGCTGCGCTGCTGTCACTCATTGATTGGACTTCCTCAGCCACTTCGTCGTTTCTACATTCACCACCTACCTTTTCCTTGTACCGAGCACACCCTACACTGCCCTCGTCACTGGCACAGTCTTCACCACCTACAATCCCCGTCACTTGTGCCAATCACGCCGCATGGCCTCAGGCTCGTGCCTAATCCCACCTACTGGGAACTAAAGTGCACGCATCTTGTTCAAGTGCGGAATCTGTTCTCAGAATGCCTATCGCCTCCATGGTCACCGATTACGAAGTCCTGCTGCATACACTAGCACTTTCACGCATAGGTAGAGCAACATGGAGTCCCTTTCTCGTCTCTGGGAGTGCGGCTCTTACACTGGATAGGGCTAGATAAGGGGCTCCCTTAATGCAATCCTTCGTGGCTCCGCCCAACATGACTAGAAATACTGTCGTCGTCCTCCATTCTCTTGTATGGCCTCATACGACCCAGTCAAAAGGTATGGGACATCGTGGAGGACATTTGAGGATGGATCTGAACGGAGAGTTGTTGTCAACGGAGGTGAGGCTCACACCCTAGCTGATTCACGTACCGGGTTCAACTTCGCCAGGCCGATATTGTTTCCAAGACAAAGATACTTCAGAGTTGATTCCAATCTCGAACGCGATATCGCCCCAACAACGAAGGTATGTCCGTCAATATTCCTTTCCTCTTGATCCAGGGCCTTGCTCACATGAAGGGTTAGAAACATACCGCGAACCACAGATCATGAACCAGCTCAAACGCAAAGGGGTGACCATCGTCGTCGCTCTGATGGAGAGTTCAACTTGCGAGGGACCGGAAGAGAGTCTTGTACAGCACGTGACAGACTCGATGCAGATCCTGATCCTGTCAGGAACAATGTACCAATCCGCAGCAGTCGAATGTCCCAATCTACTCCAGAGACATCGACTGTTGTGGCAGCGTCTCGCCCGTCTGCCGCTGGCGTTGAGTTTATTCGGATCGAATACAACGATTTTCCGGGGTGCAGTCGCTTTATAGACCGCGACCCCAGCATTCTGTCTGCCGATCTGCAGAGCTTTCTCGATGCCGCAGTTCAGGCGGTAAGAAATCACGATCGTATACTATCGCTGCGATGCATCCAGCGATATGTGATCATCAAAAAGTGCCGAAACTTGACTGCCGAAGATCGCCACAATTACCTTTCTTTACTAGGACGTAAAGATCCTAACGAGCCAACCTGGCATGAATATTGCAGTGACCGCGAAAAGACCTCCGGTGAAGTACATCGAAGATTTCAGGAAAGCTTGAGGGCCTTACAACAAAATGACATGGATCCGCCCGGGTCACAGAGTCGGTGTCTCAACGAGGCGGATACACGCAGTTATGGCCAACTATTGCCTGCCGGTTGGGACATTTCCTATAGAAGGCCGGTCGTTTCTCACGCTGGTCATTTTCCCTACCCTTCGGCGTCAGCCTATACACAATCAGTAGCATATCCAACAGTAGCACAAAGAAGAGAGCTGTCCTCCATTGACAGTATCCACCAAACAAGTGCTTCCGGAATTCCAACCAAGGCGGAGGCTGCAACTGGACAAGATGTGCACTCTGCACCCTCTGCTCTGTCGGCCTCACGGACAAGTGTCAATTATCAGCGAGACACAAGGGGAAGCGACCAGCAGCAAGATGCAACAAAATCTCGTGCTTATTTGAGGTCTTCACACTCGTATGATGCATATGACTACAGACACAAGCCACCCACAGCTGGCGGTCTTGAGAATGTCGAATTCAGAGGCAATAACAAGGATCAGTTGGCGGCGGATTCCGAACGGCTTGATCCTCGTTACATATTACGCAGTGACGGTGCCACCTTCTTTTGCGAAGGTAGAGTATTTTCCTTAATGCACCACGAGCCCTTGGGCCTAAGACGTGGCGACCCCCCTGTTCGTGGTTTCGACAAGCGAAGTGTGAGTGAAGGACCTAAAGGGGTGCTCATTTACAGCAAGATCAGAAGGATGGCTGTTGTCAGGAAACGGCAAGGGTACTCCATCTGCGTCCCTATCAATTCCTACGGAGGGCGAGGCGTGGGGCAGAAGAAAATGGGCTCTGAGATGCAGGCTCACGCCATTGCATATCCAAGCTATCAAGATCCGCCTCCTGGGCCGCTCCCAGAAGAGCCTCAATTCAAGAAAAGACCGATAGCTGTGGATCTCAACCAAGGTCACGACTTGGAAGCTGGCAGCCGAATCCATTTCGGAAAGTTGCAATCTATTGAATGGAACGTGAAAGTCATGGATATTGGCTTCATTGCTCCGAAGTCCTTGAATGACTTTGAGGCGTACTGGAGAGAAGAGTACTTCCCATCAGAAGGCCCGCGAGTCGATAACAACACAAGACGTTAAGCATCTGCATAGAGTGGTCGCAAGGAAGAACTTGCCGCATTCTATCGGTGCTCACATCACTCAACATCCATACGTATGAGAGCCTCGGTTTCATGAGATTGTCACTTAGCAAACTGGGCCGTTTCTGTACTTGGGATTTCCGGTTTTGGTATTCAAGAATGAAAACCGTTCAATTGTTTCGATTTTCAGCTATGTTGGGGCCCTCACACTCTTTTTAAGGCGGCCTTGCAGGACGCAATCGGTGAAAATTAGCTATGGGGCCAGCAGTGAGCCGGGAGGAAATCATTCGTGTATGCGACTTTCGCAAGCTGCTTTTGGTGGATGACATGGGCAAGTGTTATGGGCAAATTGACTGGGTCTGTTCAGTTCGTATGACTTGTCAGTTCTTGGTTGAATTGGGCAATCTATTCGGCAGAAGCATTCAGACCATGCTATGTAAGTATGGCTGCGATAACCTGACGATACCTTTCGGCTTTTTTTTCCCTCAAACAAAGGCAATCCCCCTCGTTGATTCAAGCCTTTCCCTTCTTCTTCTTCTTTTTGGTTGAAGGCGATATTGGTGTCCGAGACTTCTGCTGCCTGCCAGCGCGCACGTAATTTGACAGAGCCAATGATGGTGTGAGATGGAAATGTGACCAGCCTTTTCTGTTCAAAGTGGCTGCCTTGCTGTACTTGTATGGCCTGGAACTTTTGTAGCTTGTCAGCAGACGACTACCCATCTGCTCGACTCCAGGGATGGAAGCTGTTAGCAGTAGTTGGGCGTTGCCGGTCCTTCAATCCAGACCAACTTGCAGACAAAGGGGCGTTGGGCGTTTCAATCTCGAATGGTAGCGACATCAATTCCTCGGTACGGCTGAAGCGTCACTAACGTTGAAGATGTACACAGAACATAGTGACAGCCTGACCACGTATCGACATGTATCAGAGTGGGCAGACATAGATGGCTTGGTTGACTGCAGATATGGAAGCCTATGGCGCTGGTTGTGAAAACATACATCATACAGGGTACTACGAACACATCAACACGGCACGACGCATGGTACGCAGCGCAAGGCCACGCGCAGAATCCACTGGACATCAACGGCAGGCTGCATTCATCTTCCATCTATGCACGGGAAGATAGTACACCCACGTCCATCCACGCAACATGAACTGCCAGCACAGCACTTTACACGCCCCACAGATATGGGAGCACACAAAGGGTCCTTACAGACGAGGATTCTGATCCGTCACTGTTTGGCATGGGTAGGATCTACCACGGAGAAAGGTGCACACACAGGTACGAAATACACAAGTATCTTGGATATGTACTCTGTACATGTATGTTTCTAGGTTGATTCTTTTGGTGGTCATTCCAAGTCATTATGAATTACTACCCATTTTTGCAAGGACGGTGAAAAAAGAAAGGCCGTTTATCCTCATATCTCATTTCGGTACCTTTCCAACCTGTTCCCGGCAACTAGAATTCTGAAAGAGCCCATTAGTTACTTTGTTTCTGATGGAAGCCTGCGTGGCGGGTATGATTGTGATGTCGTGCGCACACAAGCTGGGCAGGATTGCAGAACCTGCGACAGCCCGATTCAAAACAGGGCGCGGCGCGCCAAAACTGACGAGGAAGCCATCAAGGCCTCACGGTCAAGGTCGATTCGGTCAGACCTCTAACGAGCTACAACATCTCATCTTTCAGGTCCCCGTCAACGCTCCCCCCTGGACCATCACCGCCCCCGCCGCCTCCGCCAAGCTCCCTAACCTCGGCGGTCTCCCAGCAGAGACTGGTCAGATCGAGCATCCAGCGTTGGTGCTGCTCCTCTAGAAACTCGATCGTCAAGGGCTTCGGCCAGGACTTGAACGTCGCATCCGACGCGGGGTCCTTCAGCATCTTGTCGTATTTCTTGAAGGAGACGCGGTGGTGCGAGATGTTCTGCCAACTGTCGTCCATGTCGATGTGAAGCTGGGAGCCTGAGAAGAGCTCAAATCTAGGATCGAATTGTCAGATTAGGGTGCCATGTAATATTAAGTATTTTAGCTGGGGTAAGAGCCAGACCAGCCCGCACGTTGTCGTGCAGCAAATAAGAGTGATCGTAGATAGTTTCGCCTTATCAGAACTCAAAACTCACCCAATGTAGACGCCGTTCGCGCTGCCGAGACTGATGATCTTTGCGCCAGGTGAAGTCTTTACTAGGTGGTAGATTTCACAGTAAGGAATCAGATCCTGATGACTCGGATACTGTGGGAAGAAGGGGAATTTGAGCTTTTGGGTTGAAATCCCCCGGGGGTAAATGCCGTCAGCTGACCGTCACCTTTCTCGCTCAGGTTGACTCTCTAGGAGTTCAAGGCAGACTTACGAAATGGAGATCTCGAGACTTGTTCTCGTCGTACTTGACGTCCCAGAAGTGTCGCAGGACGATTTGGTCGGTGCGCGAGAGATTGCCGATGGTGTTATGCGGCAGGGCCGTGATCTGGTAGTTGGTGGGAGGCCGATTCGCGAAGTCGAAGCTCGAGCTGGTCTTTGCCGACACGGGCCTCGAGTCGTGAAGAGACCCCGTCGTGCCATTTGGCATCATGGGCGCATGGGAGAGAGGCGGCGTGTATGATGTGGGAGGTGCTGGCTGATGCGAGGCTGAGATGGAGGGTTGGGAATTGTGGACGGAACCGGATCGAGAAAAGCGCCGCATGCTGAGAAACGGGGACATAGTCCTGAGAAAGAGCGATGAAGAGAAGAAAATAATTTGTTTGTTCAATGTGACTTATTGGGCCGAACAAATACGCCAGCAGGGGGTGAAGAACAAAATCCTGGTGGCGCGTGTAGAGGGCAAATGTTGGATTGATGGGAAAAAGATGGTGGCAGGCCCTTTGCCGGTTTTGCCCTTTTGGGGATAGAGCCTCCCTAGCGGGAGAAAGCGCGCTAGTCTCTATTTATATAGTGATGCCTAGTCTGTATCTGGTCAAGCGCCGGATAAGACCCGACTTAAAACTTGAAAGTCCGATGGAAGCCGTGGTGGAAACCAACCTCCCTCCTCCCTCTTAGAGGAGATCACATATCGAAGTGTCCTCCAGCTCGTGCCAGGCTGATTCCTTGGGCTGCTCTCCTTTATCTTTGTTGACGTAAATCTGGTGAGCCCGGGTCCCAGGATCGTCGAATGCCGCAGCAGCTCATGCGTCCCTCCAAGGAACTCCGGAGCTTTGGCCGCATTGTGACCTGCCGAGAGGGCATGCGAGGAAAACAGAATCTTCCTAATGCAACGCGATGCGTCCTTTCAAAATAGACAGAAAACCAGATCATGGGCGACCTGCTCCATATAATACTCTCATAATTTCTTAATCACCCTCAGCGAATTCCAGGGCGGAGAAGCTCTAGGCGACTACGACCCATGCCTTCGGGGCGGAAGAACTCCCACCGCCCGCTTTTCCCGCTAACCGAATGCGGATACTTTCCAGATCCAGCGAGCAGACATTTCCATCCAAGACGATTCGGCCTCATTCTGCGCCGGTTGGATGGTATTGGGACAAATTCAGATCTCCCATTCCAGAAACCCCAATTATGCTGTCCTGCTCTCCAGGGGATTCAGTCTCACCATTCCCTCTCGCCCAATGGCTGATTTTCTCAACTGAGTTCCGTCCTAACGAAATGCTGGAGCCTGGCGACTCAATAACCCTGCAGAAGCCCCTTACGAGGTTCCTGTTTCCAAATAATCTCTCGATTTCACCTAGACTTGCTCATTTTCCCGCAAAAAGTCTGTGAAAAGCGGAACGATACATACCCACACCCGCTCTCTTCGGAGCATCAGGCACCCATGTGAATGGGAACCATGCTTTGCGTTGTCGTGGGCAGGTACTTATATCTCGGACTTCACGCCCTATAAGGTTTCTTATAACTATATCAATTATCTCGATGACCACGTCCATGCCCACAAGCTAAATCGCAAAATATCGGCCTCTGATGCAACATGACGTCCACCACCCCAAAGGCGACCTCTCTCCGCGTCGGAATCCTCCTGATCCCACCGGTGCAGCTCCTCGATGCCTCGGCCATTGATCTCTTCGGTATGCTCACCCACGAATACCTCGAAGCATGCGGCCTGCCCAAGCCGCTCATTGAACTGGCTATCCCGGTCGAGATCCACTACATTGCCGCCTCCGGGTCAGGTACTCACGCCTCCATGACATCCTCCGCGACGCTCCCGGTGACGGATCCTCTGTCATCGCCAGCCGTTCAACCGGGTCAACTCGATGCACTTCTCATCCCGGGTCCAGATCCAAATCTGGTCCCTGACGAGGATGTGTTGGCTTTCCTCCGCGCACACAAGAAAGCCGACAAGACCGACTTCTTGATCATCTGCACTGGAAGCTTTCCTGCGGGCTATGCAGGGCTCCTGGATGGCAAGAAAATCACCGGCCCGCGAGGTCTATTGGGAAAATTGAATGAGAAATTTCCCGCTGCAAAGTTTGTGGATAGGAGATGGGAGAGAGATGGAAGAATTTGGTCGTCTGGTAGGTAATCAGCCATGGGGTTCTTGATACTCTCTCGTTCTCCCTCCCTGTCGCTCTGTTTCAACTATACCGCACCCACTAATAGCATATATCTAGGCGGGATCACCAATGGTCTAGATCTAACAGCAGCGTATTTGCACTACAAAGTTCAAAAGGAGCTTGCAGATCTTGTCTGCGCCATGGCAGAAGTGGGTGATCGCACACAAGACTATGACAGCGGCAAAGTGAGCAACACACTTTGGTGGGTGTGGTTGATGTTGCGGTCGTTGGTGAAAGGTAAGAGCAAAGGAGGCAACAAGGACAGAAAGAAAGAAGAGTGAAAAAGGCATTGGCGAAGTAACGGCCGCCTTGAGGCAAATTGGGGCATTGAGCTGGTGGTGACTTTCCAAGAAACATCCCTATCTATCCTTCTGTATTGTGGAACAGCACCACATGGGCAGGTTGAGCTGACAAGTGATGTTTGGCGAATGGCTCCTGGCGACTGTTTGGAATAGCCGCTGTTTTCGTGC